TCCCTGGGTCTCTCTAAGAAGATACTGGATGTGGCACTCGGTGCCATGGTGAGGGTGACGAGGTGGGGTTGGGTCACAGGTTGGACTGGATGGTCTCAGACGTCTTTCCCAACCCCATTGATCCTGTGATTCTGTGATTAGGAGGAATTTCTTCACAGAAAGGGTGGTTGGACATGGGAATGGTCTGCCCAGGGCAATGGTGGGGTCCCTGGGTCTCTCTAAGAAGAACCTTGGATGTGGTGCCATGGTGTGGGTGATGAGGTGGGGTTGGGTCACAGGTTAGACTGGATGGTCTCAGAGGTCTTTCCCAACCCTGTTGATCCTGTGATTCTGTGATTAGGAGGAGTTTCTTCACAGAGGGAGTGGTTGGACATTGGAAGGGGCTACCCAGGGAGGTGGTGGAGTCCCTGGGCTTCTCTGAGAAGAACCATGGATGTGGTGCCATGGTGAGGGTGACGAGGTGGGGTTGGGTCACAGGTTAGACTGGATGATCCCAGAGGTCTTTCCCAACCCCACTGATCCTGTGATTCTGTGATTAGGAGGAGTTTCTTCACAGAAAGGGTGGTTGGGCCTTGGAAGGGGCTGCCCAGGGAGGTGGTGGAGTCACCGTCCCTGGAGGTGTTTAAGGGAAGACTCAGTGCCATGGTCTGGGTGACGAGGTGGGGTTGGGTCACAGGCTGGACTGGATGATCCCAGAGGTCTTTCCCAACCTGGTTGATCCTGTGATTCTGTGACTCAACAGCACGATCCTGTTAAGCCAGAATTCCTTTTATTCGCCATCGGGGTGGTGTTGGGGGTAATTCCTCCATAAACACTCCACTGAAACAAAGATTTCATGAGCTTTTATACACTTGAACATCCCAAGCCCCTTCCCAACAGTCAATCATCTTTTTGTTACGAGGCATCAACACCAACCTTCAGTTAAAGGTCACCCAAACTTCTTCTACCTAAACAAGCCTTGAAATAGTTTTGGATCTTATCGTGACATCAACATCCATCTTTAATTAAAGGTGGCCCAAACTTCTTCTGCCTAAACAACCTTTGAGATAGTTTCATATCTTATTTTTACAAGACACGAACATCAGTCCTTAGTTAAAGGTCACCCAAACTTCTTCCACCTAAACCCCCCTTGATTGATTTAGTTTTCTCTTCCTGAACAACCCTCTGTTGATGGAGTTCCCTGGGGCATCCAGGGCCATGTTTTGCTGCTCCCTCCAACTCCTCGTTCCCCGTCTCCGAGGAACGTCCGAGTGACCAATTCGCGGAGTTGACGCGGTAACGGTGAACTCCGGAATTCCCGGGATTCCTGGGCTGTCGCTGGGGTTCTGGTGACGTGCCCCCTTTCCACAGCTGGAGCAGATGCTGGAGAACACGGCGGTGCGGGCGCTGAAGCAGCTGGTGCTGCTGCACCGCGAGGACGGGCCCAGCCCGGCGCGCACCGTGGAGTGGCTCAACATGCGCAGTTGGTGCTCGGGGCACTTCCACATCCGCTGCCCCCGGCGCGTCTTCTCCCGCCGGAGCCCCGCCAAGCTGGTACATCTGGGTGTGTCCCCCTGGGGTGACCTGGGTGACCCACCACAGGTGTTGTCAACCGCTGTCCATCCCCAACCCTGAGTGGCCTTGGTGGTCTTCCGTGGTCATCATCAACCCCTGTCCGTCCCCAGCCCTTGGGTGGTCTTCCATGGTCATTGTCACCCACTGTCCATCCCCAACCCTGGATGGCCTTGGTGGTCTTCCATGGTCGTTGTCAACCACTGTCCATCCCCAACCCTGGGTGGCCTTGGTGGTCTTCCATGGTCATTGTCAACTGCTGTCCATCCCCAACCCTTGGTGACCTTGGTGACCTGCCACGGTCGTTGTCAACCACTGTCCCCCACCCTACATGACCCTGATGGTTTTCCATGGTCATTGTTAACCACTGTCCATCCCCAGCCCTGAGTGGCCTTGGTGGTCTTCCTTGGTCATTGTCAAACGCTGTCCGTCCCCAACCCTGGATGACCTTGGTGACCTGCCGTGGTCATTGTGAACCACTGTCCCCAACCATAGGTGACCTTGGTGACCTGCCATGGTCATCATCACCCACTGTCTGTCCCCAGCCCTGAGTGGCCTTGGTGGTCTTCCATGGTCATCATCAACTGCTGTTCGTCCCCAGCCCTGGGTGGCCTTGGTGACCTGCCACGGGCGTTGTCAACCCCTGTCCGTCCCCAGCCCTTGGGTGGTCTCCCATGGTCATTGTCACCCACTGTCCATCCCCAACCCTGGGTGGCCTTGGTGGTCTTCCTTGGTCATTGTCAAACGCTGTCCGTCCCCAGCCCTGGGTGACCTTGGTGACCTGCCATGGTCATCACCACCCACTGTCTGTTCCCAGCCCCAGGTGACCCTTTTGGTCTTCCTTGGTCATCACCCACTGTCTGTCCCCAATCCCACATGACCTTGGTGACCTGCCATGGTCATTGTCAACCACTGTCCCCAACCCTGGGTGACCTTGGTGACCTGCCATGGTCATCATCACCCACTGTCTGTCTCCAGCCCTGAGTGGCCTTGGTGGTCTTCCATGGTCATTGTCACCCACTGTCCATCCCCAGCCCTGGGTGACCTTGGTGACCAACCATGGTCATTGTCAACCACTGTCCCCAACCCCATATGACCTTGATGGTCTTCCATGGTCATTGTCAACCACTGTCCCCAACCCTGGGTGACCTTGGTGACCTGCCATGGTCATCATCACCCACTGTCTGTCCCCAACCCTGGGTGACCTTGGTGACCTGCCATGGTCATCATCACCCACTGTCTGTCCCCAGCCCTGGGTGACCTTGGTGACCTGCCGTGGTCATCATCACCCACTGTCTGTCCCCAGCCCTGGGTGACCTTGGTGGTCTTCCTTGGCCGTCGTCACCGGGTGACCTTGGTGGTCTTCCATGGTCTTCCATGGTCTTCCACGGTCACCATCACCCTCCGTCTGTCCCCTCCTCGCAGCGGGAGATGTACGAGAAGGTGTTTGAGAAGGAGCCCGACCGCCACAGCGACTTCTCCCGCCTGGCGCGGGTCCTCACCGGCAACACCATCGCCCTCGTCCTGGGCGGCGGCGGCGCCAGGTGGGTGCTGGGCACGGTGGAACCCAGCAGGGTGGAAGGTCCTGGGGTCATCCATCTTGGTTTTCCTTGTCTGTCTGTCTGTCTGTCCAGGGGCTGCTCCTACATCGGGGTGATGGAGGAGTTGGGGATCCCCATTGACGTGGTGGATGGGATCCGGCGGGTTGGGGGGTCCTCAACTCATCCATGCTCTTGTAGGGTTTGTCCCTCCATCCAGGGGTTGCTCCCACATCAGGGTGATGGGGAAGTCGAGGATCCCTATCGGCCTGATGGGATGGGGGGTCCTGGGCTCATCCATCTGGGTTTTCCATGTCCATCCATCCAGGGGTTGCTCCTACATCGGGGTGATGGAGAAGTCACCCATCGACCTGGCGGGGTGGGGGGTCCTGGGCTCACCCATCTTGGTTTTCCTCGTCCATCTGTCTGTCTGTCTGTCTGTCTGTCTGCCCAGGGGTTGCTCCCACGTCGGGGCGATGGGCAAGTCGGGGATCCCCGTCAACCTGGCAGGGAGGTCCTGGGCTCACCCATCTTGGTTTTTTCCTTGTCCCTCCGTCCAGGGGCTGCTCCCACATCGGGGTGATCAAGGCCATGGAGGAGTC